GAAAAAGAGAGAGAGAATTTTCTTATTCCTGCTCCCTCACGTTACTCATGTGGCTACTGAGAACCAGGGAGTTTGTCAACACCAAGGTCATTTACTTAATTAGCTGCCACCAGACCCACAGTTATGCTTAGTTCCTATTGTGTCATGAAGAACTTCTTACTCGACCACGTGATACCCAGACAGAGGGTCGGTATTTCACCAAGAATGATATTATTTCGAATCAGCACCTTCTCACGTGTTTTTTAGAATGGCGATGTAACTGAGTAAGCAAAGAGAAAATGATTAGAAGGAAGAGAGTTAGAGCAAGGGAGTCAGTAGAAATCAAAGCCAGAAAGGCTCACAGCTGATGATTCATCTAAGCATGGCGCCAGGCCAATGTGTTCGTGCAAATAGGCAAGTTAGGGGTTCCTTGCACTATTTTAGATGGATTTTAATGAGGTTGGGAAGGAACAGCCACTTCAGGACCCCATCATGGAGGTCCTATCCAACAGGCTGGCATTACCCTCCTACAACTTGAACTCTGTCTGCCACACAAGGCAAACTTCATGCAGGCTGACTCCTCTTCACTTTGTGGTTGTTGTTAGGTGCCATCGATTCGGTTCTGACTCATAGAGACTCTACGCACAACAGAATGAAACACTGGTCAGGCCCCTGCCATCCTCACGACTGTGAGTGCTTGAGCCCATTGTTGTAGCCACTGTGTCATTCCACCTCATTGAGGGTCTTCCGCTTTTTCCATGACCCTCGACTTTACCAACCATGATGACCTTCTCAGGGGACTGGTCCCTCCTGATAACAAGTCCAAAGTGCCTGAGGTGAAGTCTCGCCATCCTTGCTTCCAAGACGCATTCTGGCTGTACTTCCTCCAAAAAAGACTTGTTCATTCTTCTGGCAGTCCATGGTACATTCCATATTCTTTGCCAACACCACAATTCAAAGACATCAATTCTTCTTCAATCTTCCTTATTCAGTGTCCAGCTTTCACATGCATATGAGGCAATTGACAACACCATGACTTGGGTCAGGTATACCTTAGTCCTCCAAGTGACAGCTTTGCTTTTGAATACTTTAAAGAGGTCTTTTGCAGCAAATTCGCCCAATGCAATATGTTATTCAATGCCTTGATTGCTGCTTCCATGAGTGCTGATTGTGAATCCAAGTAAAACTAAATCCTTGACAACTTCAATACTTTCTCCACCTATCATGATGTTGATTACTGGCCCAGCTGTCCCTTTAGACTTCCACTTTTTGCAGACTACGTAGGACTGGGAGGGGAGTTTTATACTAAAATACTATATTGAACTCAAATCATCACCATTTGTAAATATATCTTTACTTGGGAAATAACTGTATCTACTAAAATGTTAGTAAGAATTGGGATTTAATTTTCACTTCCTTCTGAGTAACTAAAATTTCTTCCTAATTATTTTTACTGGTTCTTTAAAACATAAGAGAAATAGTTCACATTCTGCTGCACTGTGCTTGGTTGACAGGTGTTTCACCTTCATGATGAAACAGAAAAGCAATAACCGGTAACAACAGGTCTAAGCTCTGTAAACTGCTTGACGCCTGCACGGCAAGCTTTGAACCTAGTCCATAAACTTGAACCTCTGGCCCCTACAGACTAAAACCTGAAAAGCTGGGCTGGTTGGTGTTACTTTAAAATGGAAAGAACATCAGCCATCGTGTGTTTTGTTCTTTCTTACCTTGACATTGACATTCAACCCAGAAGTTAATCTCTTGTCTGGACTTTTCAGTGTCCTTCCGGAAATCAACACTTTCCATTGTTGTGTGGTAAAATTGAATAACACCATCCAAGTATTCCTGTTAAATTGGAATACATAGAAAATAGTACAATACATCACCAACACTACGCTAATAGGAGTGAGGTAATTGTGAAAAGCCTAATGAGAAAGATGGCCCTGTCACTTAGCACCAGAGGAACAGACACTTAAGTATATATTCCCGATCTTAATTACCCAGAGGCGCTTTGCTTGTTGCAGTGACAGTTTAGGATACAGAACATTTATTCCTGAAATAATCCCTGGTTAGAAAGACACAGTCCTTTCCTACCAGACGTCCTTCTATTTGGGCAATCCATTTGAGACGTCACAAAACAACTATCAAGAAACTTGAGAGACTTAACTGTAAAATATTTCCATTTTTAAGAACTGAAACCCAGCATATACAAGTCTCATTTCCATTGTAAGAGACCTTGCCTGTTCAAAAGCAAGTTACAGCTCCCTGACTAGTCCAGCCCTCTCCAGCTGTATGGCATGTTGGCCATTGAGAGCACGCCTCACTTTTATTGCTAAGTGTGTGGCTCCCTCTAGCGGCTGGAGAAGAAACAAGCCTAGACTGATGTCTGGCAGTGGGCATAAAAGGCTGTTGAGCCCCAGAGAAGAAACCTGAGCTTTTCGCTCCAAATGCGGTCTCCTCCTACTACACCATTCTGTTCTTAAGAGCAAAGAAAGCACGATTTCCTTTTGGCCTGATGGCGGCACAAAAGGTGACGTTAGTGAATAGGCTCGAAGGGAGCCAACAGCAAGAAGAGCAACCAAATCCATCTCCTCAAGGGACCTCTACTGGGAAAAGCCCAAACCCTCAGGGGCTCTGAAAGCTGTCGGTCCCGCGATCCTTCGTGCACCCACTCTGTGCAGCTCACACCAGCTTTGCGGGGGCCGAGGGAGGAGGGAAACAGGGGTGAGCGAGAGGGACGTGGGCCTGGAGACGCGCCAGTCCACAGCACCTGCTCTGGCAGGCGAGTGACCCGGCTACGCATTCATTTCTAAACAGGTGTGCGTGGTGTAGCTTTAATCACCAGGCCTGCGTAACTCACTGGGCAGATGGGAAATTCCTGCTCTCCGTAGAGTCTGTTGGCGATACTGAGGGTGTAATCAGCTGGAATTCGGTCCACCTTGGACAGGAGCTTCCCGAAGTAGCAGCTGAGTTCTCCTCTCTCATGGTTTGAAGCCTCGGCCTAGTAAGAGAAGACACAATATGTGATCTAAATGCAATTGTCAGAAGTTATAGGGGTTCCACAGCAGAATCCTGGCCTTCGGTGAGGAAGACCCAGCTTGCATTCCCAGCCAGTGCCTCTCTGTGCAGCCACCATTGGTCTATCAGCAGAGGCCTGTGTGTTGTATGAGGCTAGACAGGTTTCAGCGGAGCCTTCAAATTAGGACAGACTAGGAAGAAACACTGGGTCTGCTTCCCAAAGTCAGCCATGGGGCATGCACCATTCCTGAACTGAAGGCTCGCTTGACAGCAGCTACAACCAGGTACAAGTATTTTTTACAGACGCCAGTTAGATCTCCATAAGGAGATGTCATTTTGCTTTATAGGGGAACAAGGTAGGAAGAAGAGAGGTGAGAAGAAGGATGGACACACTGGGTGATCACAGCTCCTAGATCGGGACCAACATGACCCAGAAAAAATGTCTCTGAGATTCAGCAACACGCACTGGGTTTTAGGGTGGTGAGGCCCGGGTCTCTGTGTTCAAGAAGATTTGAGTGATAGAGAAATCTTTCCACTTCCTTGAAGCTGTCTACATAGGTGATCTAGCACCTGGGGACTCTTTCCTGCAACTGGTATGAGATCGCCAATGAAAGTACAGATTTCAGCATGAAAAGGAGCAGCAGAGGTGAAGGGAGACAGGGGGAATCTCTCAGGTGGCCCCCACCTCACTGCCCCTCACACTGGAGGACACTGCACTCGGGAACCTGTATCCTGTCAAAGCAAGTGAGGACTGGGGCGATCATCTACGTTTCCGTATCACGAGCAGAAGCTATTAGATCCTACTCTTTAGAAAACTTGCTTCCAGCCAAAGATGTATAAGACACGTGATCAGAAAGGAACGGCAGGCCACATGAGGTGGCTGTGGTTGTGGACACTCAGCACCCAAGGTTTTGGTGGAGCGCCCATCGGCAAGCACAGGACAGCGGAACGGCTGCTTTGTGAGGAAGAGGGGCAGGGCCTCACCTGCGGAGTCAGAGACTGTGCCGCCTTTTTCTGCCCTTCTACTCCGCTGTCAGCCACCATTTCTGGTTTGTTGCTTTTCAGACAGGGGTCTGGTTCTTTGCTTTCATTCTGACAAAACTCACTGAAGTGCAGTACCTGTGTGGAATGGCACGAGGTCTTTTAGACAATAGCAACAGCAGAGAGTCTGAGCAGCTTCAGAAACATTTTTCTAATGTGACAGTGACAAGGTGACAGACTCAAACAAAGCAGTCAACAATTTAAAGGAAAGTGGATGCTTCTTTCATCTTGGGTTGGGAGGTGGGATAGAAGGTAAGTAACCGAATGGAGGGGCAGTGG